CTGAGGACCGCAGTTCAAAGCCAGCCCAGGCAGGGAAGTCCGTGAGACTCTTATCTCCAATAAACCACTAGAAAACCAGAAGTAGCACTGTGGCTCAAGCGGTAGAATGCTCACCTTGAGCTGAAGAGCTGAGGGACAGCACCCAAGCCCAGAGCCCCACAACTGACCAAAAAAAAAAAAAGGCTGGGCACCAGTGGCTTACACCTATAATCCTAGCTACTGAGGAGGCTGAGATCTGAGGATCACGGTTCAAAGCCAGCCCAGGCAGAAAAGTCCGTGACACTTATCTCCAATTAACCACTAGAAAACCAGAAGTGGTGCTGTGGCTCAAGAGGTAGGTAGAGCACTCGCCTTGCACTGAAGAGCTGAGGGACAGCACCCAAGCCCAGAATTCAAGCCCCACAACTGACAAAAAACAAAACAAGAAAGAGAAAAAAAATGAATTATTGTCTGAGTCTCAAAGACCAAAGAGGACAGGTTTGTTTTGGGTCTGCTGTACCCATTATGGGATTTTGGGGGTGTGAGAAGAGTACCAGGCTATTCAAATAAGAGAAAGACTAGCCCCGTCTGTTTGCTGGCCAGCCACAGTCAATGATAGGTTATTGCACAAGCCAGAGGCTTGCTTTGGCTGTGGTCTAGAATAGAGTGGCCCATTTGGGGGCTGCATGGTAGTCACCAAGAGTTGGTATCTGACTTGAGGAAGTCTCCCATTTTTCCTTTTTCACCTCTTCATCCTGATAAAAATATTGAAGGCTACATAAAGTAACTTTTGTTGGGAAGTTTGGAGGCCCTGCTCTAGCTTTAGAATTCAAGCAGGGCTGAATTCCCTGAATTCAAGCAGTGGCTTATACCCATCCCTGCCCTGTGTCAACTATACACACAGGTCTGGCAGGTACAGGGGCAATGTTGGTTGTACGGCAATAAAACAGAGAAGCCACATTTTGAGAGGTCAAATCGGGAGTCTATTAAAAGCCAGTGACTGTATGGTGGGTTCCAATTTCAAAGACCAGCAGCCTGAACAGAGCTTACACCGAGCTTTTTTTTTTTTAAGCAATTATAATTAAGTGATTACACAAATTTCACAGTATTGTGGGATAGTGATAACTTAAAGTCACAAACACATTCTAACTTTCATGGGGCAAATTGTCTTTATCATGATCTATAAAGTTTATGAGTTCTATGAGCTTTGACAATACTGTTACTTCTTCCACATCGGGTTATAGGTTCATTTCTTCTTTATTGCTTAGTGTCAGCTGTTCCCTCTTCCGCTCATTCCCTCCCTCCCATTGCTCCCACTGAGTTGCTTAGTTTGTTTTGATCAATGACCAGTGCAGCTGATGGTTTCCTGCTGTTGTATGTTTTCCCCGTTTCTCTGTTTCTGTGTCCTCCTTCTAGTTTCCCTCCGATGTGCGTGCGTGTGTGTGTGTGTGTGTGTGTGTGTGTGTGTGTGTGTGTGTGTATACCATATATGTGGTCATCAGCATGGGGTCATTTAGTAATGATTCAACCAGATGAGTGGAGGTTCTTTGTTTCTCAAGTCTTGTTTACTTTGCCATATCTCCTTATGTTTTGGATTTAATATCCACTTATCCGAGAGACCATGTGCCATTTGTCTCTTTGCTCTTAGCTTACCTCACTCAGCACGATTTCTTCTAGTTCCATCAATTTCCATGCGAATGCCATTATTTTGTCCTTTCTAATGGGTGCCTAATATTCTATTGTATATAAGCACCACAATTTTTTGATCCATTCATCTGTAGTAGGGCATCTGGGTTGTTTGCATATGCTGGCTATTGTAAACAATACTGCGATAAACATGGAGGTGCATGTGTCCTTATATCCTGATTCCTGTTGTTCAGGATAGATGCCTAGAAGTGGTATGGCTGGGTCATAGGGGAGGTCTATGTTTACCTTTCTTAGGATTCTCCTGTTAGGTTTTTAAAAAGAGGTATCTGAGTAAAAACAGCACCACCCACATGGTATTCAGGTAAGGGGTAGGTTTATTTAGTATACCAGGCAAGGTTGGCACTCCACACGGCTGGCAAAAGAGAGCGTCTGGCCCTGGGTTAGGCCTTATATAGGGTAGGGGCAGGGAAAGGTGTGTCCAGGTAAAGGGAAGTGGGACCAGGTAAGAGGTGGGACCAGCTGAGAGAAAGGTGTGGCCACATCAGATTCAGATGTGACCTCAGCTGTGACCTCAGCGGATACAGATGTGACCTCTTCTAGGTGTCCCAGTTGCCTAGGTAATGCAGGTACAAGTGTACATTCCCACCAACAGTGTAATAGGGTTCCTCTTTCTCTACATCCCCTCCAACATTTGTCATTGGCTGACTTGAGGATGTGGGCCATTCTGACTAGGGTAAGGTGGTATCTCAGGGTTGTCTTTATTTGCATTTCCTTCACAACCAGGGATGGTGAACATTTCCTCATGTGTTTCTTTGCCATTTTTATCTCTTCTTCTGAGTAGTCTCTCTTTAGTTCCCTTGCCCATTTAGTAATTGGTTTGTTGGGTTTGGGAGGGATTAGTTTCTTGAGTTCCCTGTATATAACGGATATTAGCCCCTTGTCTGATATATTGCTGGTAAATATTTTTTCCTAGTTAGTTGGCTGTCTTTCTAGTTTGGTTGCTATGTGTTTACTAAAATGAAAAAAATTAGATGCCAATTACTTGGAGGTAACAAGAGGGATGATGTAGAGAGGTGCTTGGAGAGTAGCTGGCTCAATGTTACACACTGGGATCTTCAGGGATGCGAGACAGCCTTACCTTGGTAGGCCCAAGGGGAGAACAGGTGTACCTGGATGTCAGTGTTGGTACAGAAGGGGCAGGAAAATAGTCTATTAGTGGAGTCTTGGTACTGTCAGTAGGGAAATTACCTAGGAGAAAAGGTCTTCCATACATTAATTCAAAGGGGCTAAGAAAAGTAGGACTGCGGGGGGGGGGGGAAAGTACATAAGCAGGTTAGCACCAGGGGTAACAGTTCTGGCCAGAACTGCTGGAGATTCTAGAGAAAGTTTAGTAAGTTGTGTTTTGAGGAGCGCATTAGCTCTTTCAACCTTTCCAGAAGACTGAGGCCTATAAGGAATGTGAAGATTCCACTGGATGTTTAGAGAGGATGCCACCTGTTGGGTCACTTTGGAGATGAAAGCAGGTCCGCTGTTAGATTGAAGTGACCTGGGTAAGCCAAACCTAGGAATCATTTCTTTAATAAGGACAGAGGCAACAATGTCAGCAGTCTCTGACATTGTGGGATAGGCCTCAATCCATCCTGAAAAGTTATCAGCCAGAGAGACTAAAGAGAGAAGATATTTCAGCCGCTTACATTGGGGCATGTGAGTGAAGTCTTATCTGTCAGGGGTGAACCTTACAGTAACCTCATGTAGAGGGCAGTGAGGAAAAGAATGACCACCATGAACCTGTATTAGGGCATTCCTGAATGCTAAGTTAAGGTCAATGTGATTGTCTACTGAGCAGCTAAGCAACCTCAAAAACTGATCAGCCAAAGAGGGTCCCCAGATCCTGTGTACCAGAAGTTTCACTCTTTTTTCTTTCTTTCTTTCTTTCTTTTTTTTTTTTTTTTTTTGGTCAGTCATGGGGCTTAAACTCTGGGCCTAGGTGCTGTCCCTGAGCTCTTCGGCTCTACCACTTGAGCCACAGCGCCACTTCCAGTTTTCTGAGTAGTTTATTGGGGATAAGAGTCTAACAGATGTTCCTGCCTGGGATGGCTTTGAGCTGTGATCCTCAGATCTCAGCTTCCTGAGTAGCTAGGATTACAGGCATGAGCCACTGGTGCCCAGCTAGAAGTTTCACTTTTGAGGGCCCTTAAAGAGGCAAACCAGAATCCTTATTTCACAATGAACAAAGGGAGGTGCTCACAGGAGAAATGGCTGGTGGTAGGTGTTGGTGATCAAATGGTGAATGATTTCCAGGTCTGGAGGGGTCAGGGAGAGAAAGAGAGAAGAAATGTGGACAAAGTCCCCTACAAGAACAGGAGTCTTGGGCTGGGAAGGTGGCTCAGTGGTAGAGTGCTTGCCTTGCATGCATGAGGCCCTTGGTTTGATTCCTCAACACCACATAAACAGAAAAAAAGCCGAAAGTGGCGCTGTGGCTCAAATGGTAGAATGCTAGCCTTGAGCTGAAGAGCTGAGGGACAGCGCCCAGGCTGAGTTCAGGCCCCATGACCGGACCAAAAAAAAAAAAAAAAAAGAACAGGAGTCTTCTAGGGAACTCTGTCCAGAAAGCAGGCAGAGAACTCAGCAGACCAGAACAGGTTTTGATCATTGCTGCAGAAGGACTCCATGTAACACTGAGCAAGTTTGGAAAAACAAAGGAGTGGGAAGTGGGGGAAGGTTAGGTTTTTATGCATTCAAAGGTGACATCTCTGCAATTTCTTTGTCCTGTCCTGTTGGTGATTTATCATGCAAACTGTCCTGTTTGGGTTTTATGGTAGACTACCCTAATGATGCCGACAGTCCTGCACTTTCAAATAAGGTCAGAGGTGACATTTTCCTGAAAACCAGGAGGAGTCCGAGAGAGAGCGAGAAAGAGAGAGAGAGAGAGTGGTCATTTGGCCATGGGAGTAACATTGAGTTATGAGAACAAAGCAGATTTCCATTATTTTTTACTTTAGTGGTTTTGGATTGTTGCAAGATTCTTATTGTTCTTGCTGTTGGTATTTGTGTTTTTGTTTTAGGTACAAGTGATTATCCACTTTAGCAAGAATTCTTTCCCAAAGTAGAATTCATTGGGTGGGTAGGGGAAAACCTTTTGTGTTTTGGGCTTCTGGGGAAACTACCTGGAATGTCCATTCTTATCATTACACTCACTGTGTATATAAAACAATAGAGGTGTCCCCGTGTGTGAGCCCAGGGCAGGCCACTAGTTAGAGTCTTATTCTTATTGTCTTTGTATTCAGAGTGGAACTGGTCCCCTTGCTGTTACTTATTAACGTTCCCTCAATGTCTTGTCTTTCCCCACCTCCTTTATCATTTTCCCACTTTAGCTGAAACCAAAAAAGCAGCCCAACAACAGGAAGATCAAGAAGAAAAAGAAGAAGATGATGAGAAAACAGTCCACAGAATGCGGGAATGGGATGACTGGAAGGACACCCACCCTAGGGGCTATGGCAACCGACAGAATATGGGTTAATCTTCCCTCAATATGACCCAATGACTACATGATGGCAGAGGAAACATGTTGGCAGATGACACAGCACAGCTTCCCTGCCCAGGAAAGCTGTACCTTCACTGTCCTGTGCTCCTGCTTCAGCTGTTTGCAACAAATGCAAAGATATGGAATCTTTCTTTGCATTCAGAAAAGTGTCAAACAGTTAAAAGTGTGTTTGTGTACCCTAGATGATGACCAGTGGTCTTGTTTTAGTACTATTGTCATGGTGTGTTCTGAATTCTTAAGCATATAGAAAAGAGCACTGAGAAATGCCTCTCTATTATTAATGGCTATGTACATTCTCTTGAGAAAATAAAATTCCTTCTATCATGTGAGTCTGCAGAAATGTATCAGCTGGTTGGTTGGTTGGTTGGTTGGTTGTTTGGTTGGTTGGTTGGTTGGTTGGTTTTGTGAGGACTGAGGGGATTCTACTATAGGAAAGATCCTGGTCGTCTGCCTATATTTTATGCAGATAATTGTCTAGCATTTGAGCTTCTCAAACTTTCTTCTTCCTATTTGGTTGGAAGAACCCATATGAGCACCACTGTACAAGAGGAAGAAGTCAAAAAAGCCGGGCCTCCCTGCTACCCAGCACTGGTTTTAGATGAAGGGACTCTAAAGAGTTAGGTGTCCTGCATCTTGTATATACATTTTTCTAATTTGGGTAGGGGAAGGGAAATAACAAAATGCTGAAATAAGGATACAAGTTGGCCCATTGTAACAATGAGATGTATAAGACAATATGTTGGAAACAAACTTTACAACTTTGGGGGTTGGAGGGAAGAGGTGGGGAGGGAAGGGATGGTAGGGGAAAAACAAAGGAGGAGGTAACAATGCTCCATAGGAAATGTACTCATTACCTTACTCATGTAACTATCACCCCTCTGCACAGTATAAATATACATATATATGAAGATCTGTAACTCAGTCTTACCTATCTTATGTGACCTTGGCCAGCAGAAAGGAAAGCTCTTGAAATTCATCATTCACTCTCACAGAAACATCTATATAAGAACAACCTCAGGTTGTATCCTGGCTCTTCTCCTACTTTGGCTACCTCAAACCACCTTGGCCTGCTTTGCTTGTGTGGTGCTGTACCTGGCACAGTGTGAACAAGTGATACAGGACATGTGCCAGGCTTGTTGAGCTGCTTAGTGACTGCCTGCAGCCATGCTGGTAACTGGGTATGGAGGAGGGGACAGCACTGAGGATACTTAAGGTATTGACTTTCTGTGCTAAAGACTGTCTCAGCTCTTGGATTGAAATCTTATAAAAGCAGCCATGTGTTGAAACAAACGATCTGCATAGAAAACATCCCTTCGTTCTGTGGCTTTGGTACACTTAGGTTTCCTTTTGAGAGGAAGATGAGTCAGCCCTCCTAATCCAGCTTCTGCAGTCTGTTTGAGGGGTTTGCAAAGAGGCTCAGTTCCTTCTTGTTTACAGGGTGGGAAGTGGAGGGCTGTCAGGTGATGAGGAGGAGGCTGTTTTGTGGGTGGTGACAGCAAGAAGACTACCAATAATATATTTGTATACTGCTTAATAAAGGACTCATCTCACCCCCACCCAGAAACACTTGAAGCTGGGCGAGCATCTTAAACTCACAGAGTTGGAAGTGAACAATATTTTCAGCTCTCCTTCAATGTTACCAGGAATCCTCTAGCCATAGCCTGTTTTCTGGCCTTGAAGCCCCACACTGAAGTCATGTCCAAAACAGACCAGATTGGGATTTCTTGGTCCTGGTAAATTTAAAATAGGGCCTTCTATAGCTAGGCATATTCCCTCACACCTGTTATCCCAGCACTTTAGAAGGCCAAGGGAGGAGGATTACAAATCTAGGCCAGCCTGGGCTGCATAGTAAGACCCCCATGTTTGTCTAGTTTCAATTGTCTGGATTTCAAAAAGTTGTGGAAGACGCTTACAATTTAACATTCTCTCATTTTCTAACTGCAAAAGTTGTAAGAGGCTTACAATTTAACATATCCTTTCAAGTGTCCAGTGCTTCTTGATCAGTTACCCCTTCCATCATTCTCCATCACATCTGTTCTCTCCCCTACTCATTTAAGTCCCCCATCTTTGTTAATTTTTTTTTTTTTGGTCGGCCGTGGGGCTTGAACTCGGCCTGGGTGCTGTCCCTCAGCTCTTCAACTCAAGGCGAGCGCTCTACCACTTGAGCTACAGCGCCACTTCCGGTTTTCTGGTGGTTTATTGGAGATAGGAGTCTCACGGTCTCTCCTGCCCGGGCTGGCTTTGAACCGTGATCCTCAGATCTCAGCCTCCTGAGTAGCTAGGATTACAGGCCTGAGACACCAGCGCCCGGCTTTCTTTGTTAATTTTTAATGGACTTTTTTTAAAATTACATTTTAATCTTTTTTTGGTGCTGCTCCTGGGACTTGAACTCCAGGTCTGGGTATTGTCTCTAGGCCTTTTTTGCTCAGGGCTAGTAGAACTTCTAGTACTTGAGCCACAGTTCCACTTATGTTGGGTTTTTGTTTTTGTTTTTTTTGAGAGCATTTAGTTGGAGATAAGTTTCATGGACTTTCCTGCTCAGGCTGGCTTTGAATCTTACAGTTTCTAAACAATACATTTTGATCAATGTTGTACCTTTCACCATTCCCCCCTCCCATCCCCTCAATTTTCTTATTTTCATAAGATATGCATTGAATAGTATGTATTCTCCCTTCTTCCTCTCTTCATTTCTCTACCTCCTCTCTTTGAGCTCCCCTACACACCTTTCAAGTTATCAATTTCCTGGTATTACTTTTGTTGGACTGTGGGTTTGTTTTTCTAAGGAATTAAACCGTTTGAACTCTCCCTTGCAAATTACCACACTTTGATTAATACACTTGCATACAAACACATTGTTTACTTGGACATTTATAAATTAGTTCTATTTTTGCATCCTTTGTTTCTCTGGAAGCTCAATCTGTTTTAAAAAATGGGTCTTCCGGGCTGGGATGTAGCTCAGTGGCAAAGCGCTTGCCTAGCAAGCGCAACGTCCTGGGTTCGATCCCCAGTACCAAAAAAGAAAAGACAAAAAAAAAATGGGTCTTCCATAAGGTTGAACTTTATTAAGATCCTTTACATATTCTGAGACCCTAGAAACTGAGCAGACAGCAGGTTTTAAACAAAGTGAAGTTTCATAACCTTGGACAATAAAACCTCCCAGAAGTGCCAAGTGCCAGGGGCTCATACCTATAATCCTAGCTACTCCGGAGACTGAGATCTAGGGATCAGTGTTCATAGCCAGCTCAAAGTAGAGAAGTCCCTAAGACTCTTATCTCTCCCTGATACCAACAAAAAGCCAGAAGTAGAGCTATGGCTCAATTTGAATGCTAGCCTTCAAAAAAGCTAAGGGACAGCATCCAGGCCCTGAGTTCAAGTCCCAGTACTGGACAGTACACATACAAAAAAATCCTTCTAGAAGGGTCATCCCCTAGGTGACACAAAAGAGATGTCTTTTGGAGCTTTGAGGATAAAACAAATAATGGCAATGATTATTATAATAAACACAGGCAAATAAAGAAGTAAGTGCTTTCTGTTGGGATCAGGTTGATAATGGTGGTCTGTCTACTAGAAAGGAAATGGACAACTATTGGATTTCTAGTATTCAAAGGATACTTTCCCAACTACTCAATGAGCCTGAAAACTCCAGTAGCATGAACTGCTCATTACTAAGGAAAATGCAGGTCCTGGAAAGCTGAATGGTTTCTCCAAGTTTACACTGGTTGGATGTTCTGCTTTTGTCATTCTCCGTATATTTTCTTGTTACTTGTACTTTTGTTACATGTCTTAAAGCTGCTTCTGAGTAGAACAGTTTATTTTTTTTAATCTGAACTAAAGCTCTTCACTTATACACCATTGGAGCTCCACAAATTCCTTCTAAGCTGACTCACTGAAGAAAAGATTATGCCAGTCTCCCCGCCCACCCACCCCCTTTCCCCCCACCCTCCTGCCACCCCTGTCCCCTCAGCTGAGGGATATAGTTGAAGGCAGAGGGAGGCAATGAGCAAACCCAGCCTCCTCCATTCTCCCCAGCTCTCAGTGTTAGAGGCCTTTCTGCTGAGAAACCAAAAAAGATCCACCTTCTCTCCTCCTACCAGACCCAGGCCCTCCAGGGTCCTAGGACCAGCTGGGTTAGGTGAATTCTAAAAGCCAGAACTCCTAAAAGTTTTCAACAGATACTGCCTCATCATTTGCAAGATGCTTTCAGTGTTGCTTATTAGGTCTCCATATACATTTGCATGTATTTCAGAGATGAAGTCATTGAATTAACTGCAGTCCCAGAGCTAAGAAGTAGAGCATGCAAGTGTATCACTTTAACCACAGCATTTAACCTCAGTGACTGTAACGTGGAGGCCTTCTAGACTGGGAAAGGGTGTGATGTGCATACCTGTAATCCTAGGATTTTGTTGTTATAGCTCAAACTGGCCTCAAATTGGCAATCCTTTTGTCCCAGCATCTAAACTTCAGATATTCCAGTCATGATCACTATACAGGCTTGCATGAGACAATATTTCTTTTAATGCCACTGCATACTTATTTGTCCTTTCCATTTATGTTCCTTTCAACATTTTTTGAAAAAAGCCAGAGCAGAGGCCTGAATGAGCAGTTTTACACCCAGAAATTTAGAGGTCTGGACTGGGTGCCTGTGGCTCACGCCTGTAATCCTACTACTCAGGAGGTTGAGATCTGAGGATTGTGGTTCAAAGCCAGGTGGGGAAGGAAAGTTCATGAGACTCTCATCTCCAATTAACCACCAGAAAACTGGAAGTGGCATTGTGGCTCAAAGTGGTAGAGCACTAGCCTTGAGCAAAAAGAGCTCAGGGACAGCACCCAGACTTTGAATTCAAGCCCCAGAACTACCACACCAAAAAAAAAAAATAATTGAAAAGGAAGAAAATTTTTGAAACTAAATCCAGATGTTAGTATCATTCAAACTCTAGTAAGTCTTTTGGGATTTTCATGGGCCTCAAATTGGCTCCTGAACACAATGGGCACATTGCCACTTGTCCCTATTGGGACATCCTAGAACAATACAGATTGTTATCCAACCCTAGATTCTTTCAACCTACTAAGCCAAAGTGCAACTCAACCAACATTCATTCATAGTCCCTCCAATGTTGAGACAATATGTACCCTACTTACCTCATAAGCCAGAGTGAGCAGCCCAGAACTGAATATGTGAAAAAACAGAACCAGCTATAAAGCAGCATGGGTGGACAATGAGTAAGTCAGGGATTGTTGGTAAGTTAGGGGGACAGAAAGAAAAGAGTCTTCATTTTTAATTATTTCACAACTTTCTTTAAAAAAAATCTATTTGAGTACCACGTCC